GAGGGGAGTGCTCTGTGACTGATGGAGCTCCTTTGTCAATGACAGGGGAGCTGCTGCTGGCAGTTTGGGGCCAAAGAACAGTACAGATTACATTAACATCAGTCAAGCTGTTGTCAGACTAGTAGGACATAAATAGGACCTTATTGATGCATAATGCAACAACTTTTCAACTTGACGTTTTCCCGAGTAATAGAATCGCAGAGTGAGTCTGCGGCTGAAAATTAAAGGTCTGCAGAGGAGCGTCGAAAACTTTGCAGTGAGAGGAGTTCCAGTCTTTGAATTGAAAATAAATTAATTAATTAAAGAAACTTCAATTTCCCTCTGGGATTAATAAAGTATCTTTGAATTTGAATTGAATTGAATGTGGCATTGTCAGGGTTTGTTTGTCCAACTTAAAGAAATAATTGAGAATACGTGTACAGGACCTGGCATTTGGCAATTTTGTTGTGACAAAAAAGTAAGCTTGAAAACATGGTAATATTAGAAAAGTATACCAGCCAGTATGGTGGAGGCTGGAATTAATCCCACACACATACACACACACACACACACACACACCTCGTTTTCTCTACTCGGCTGAATATCCTTGTGCTCCTAAAGTGCTTTGACAGCTTTGTAATGGAGAAAACAAAGCTTTTGACCCAGTCTGGCACTAGCAAAAATCCTAGGAAGCCTTGACACAAAAATTGCACTGTGCAGTTTGATCAGTACTGACACTGCCCCTACTGTGTCTCCCTCCTACTTCTCTACAGTCAAGTTCACAGAGACTCCTAAAACACAGGTGCAGCTGCAGAAGGAACGGATGCACCTCGGAAAGTCAGAAAAATACAGTTTGACGTGCTGCTGAATGTTCCCTTTAGGTCAGAAAGAAGCATTAAAGGTATTAAACGTATTCATCCTTAAACAAACTATAGTTCTCTTTCCTTGCACCCTTCCGAGGAATCTCTGTGCATTCTGGCTTGAGGAGGGAAAGCTGAGGACAGATCCCTGGAGTCCACACACCAAGGTCCTCGGGCCTCTGCAGCTCATAAACAGATGTGTCCTTGTCCCCAGCCAAGCGCAGCCACTCATGGCAAAGCAGGGGCCCAATAATTGTGAAGAATTGAAAGCTAAATATTGGCTTTATCTCCTCAGTAATAAAAGGGCCATGAAATTGATTTAATGCTGCAGCGCTTCTCTTGGGTGGCTTCTTACAGAGTGAGCACAAAACAATGAGCAGCAGCCATCTATTAATTAACCCACCTAATCCTGCAAAGTTAATCTCTCACCACAACTTTGCCCGCAACTAACTTCCAAGCCAGCGGGTCTGTTGGGGGTGTCATGACAATAGCGGTGAGGGGAAGATAGATTCAGCACTTAGGAAGAAGAGGGGGAGGAGGGGGCGCTGCTCTGCAAAGCAACCTTGGGGACACTGCTGAGGAAAGGCGAGGGTGCATCGGTGTAGCTGTGGAGTTTTTTGTTTATTATTTTGTGAAAAGCAGGAGAGAATATATAGTTTGGGTGGTTTGAAATCGTCGCCGCGGCACAAATATGATTGATTTCGGTCAACTTCTGTCGTTACCTATCCTCCAGCCTCATATTCTCTCCCAAGCCAAAAGTTGTTGGAGGAAGTGGCGTTTCTTTCTCTTCTTCACCTGCCTGCCAGTCGCAGCATGACGGCTCCTCACACCCGACGCGCACACTCGTGGCCATATTGTGTTGGCAGAGTTGTGAATTACCTCCTTCTCGGCTGGCTGATGAAAAGCTCTGTTTTTCCCTTCGACTGCGGCTCGTCTGACCCTGCCCTCTCACCTCCCCTCCCTCCTCCTTCGTCTCATTGGTCTTTTGTGCGAGCCTCTTCTTCGCGCCGCAGCAGAACAAAGCTGGCTCAGAAAATAGGTCACCTGCTGGTGCTCCTCTCACCTCCGCAGCATTCAAAAAGCAAAAATCCTCGAAGGTGTCCTGTGCCATTTTGCAACGCCCCAAACCTCAATCTGCAGAATACGGCCAAGGCGAAACACCCGCACACACAGCTGGAATAAAATATATCTATCAAGAAAAAACTCCAACTGAGGGAATTTGGAGCTAATTTTTTTTTTTTTTGCTAGTGAGGAAAGCAGTTCCTGTGGAGATAATTTTAGGAGGCTGATTAGGCGTAGACGGTGTTGAGCCCAGAGTGAGGAATCTCATCATCACTACTAATGACATGCCATTCCTGTGCTGAGAGGAGCATCAGCCCTGGGCATGGACTAGCCTCTCTCAGCCACCTCTAGCGGCATTGTTCATTAAGGCCAACAATGTAATTACAATCCACAGATACTGCTTTGGCTTAATTACAGTCTGATTATTGGGCTGATATTTGTTGGAATTATCAGACACGTTTAAAGTGGATCTACATCAAATCCTTCTAATTCTTAAGTGTAACTGACAATTTGGACGGATTCAGGGACGTATATATAAACAGACTTTGAAGCTTCAATGGTCTCATTCAAGTCGTGTAAATCAGAGGCGTGGGAGATGTGTGCCGTTGTTGCAGATTTGAATCTTTCATGAGTGTCAAATCTTCAAATAGATGGCTCCATCTGATTGTGGGAAATGTTTTTCCTCCCGCTATAGATCCTCCACCTGAAATCCCAACAAAAATGCAGAATGCATTACTCCGGATTATTCTGATTCCATTGAAAGTCGCCATAATTGGGAGCACTCGGAACAAAAAGCATCAATAGTCCCTAGAGGAGGGGCTATTATGGCCATGTCTGCAGCTCAAAGGCGTCTATAATCTTTTATCTGAAGCTGGAGATACAAAGAGCCTCGGAACCAAACCGTTACTGTCAGAATCAGAAACTCCAGCTTTAGACATTAGTTTTAGACGGGATTGCACCTTTCTGGAGGAATCTCAGAAAAAGACAAAAAAGAAGATTCATGGGTGTATTATTTATGCAGTGGCCCTCTGTTTTACGGTCAGACTGGTATATCGGTCAACTGATACACGTCTTTAGCACATACAGTCAGCTCCATGCTGCTCTTGAGTTTCATTAAATGTCTATTTACGTTTCTGAAAAGCTTCCGCTTGATAAACACTTTAAAGTGGCAGTACATACCTAAATCACTGCAAGCAAGCATTATTTTTGTGTTCAAGTAAGACCTTACCAACGGATGGCCATTAGGGTCAAAAATCCTTGGCAGAGCAACCTCCAGCAAATTAACAAGAATGTCAGATTCCCTTTCATCACTGACAATGAGCGAAGAGGTAAATGTGTAAAAAACCACGTTTATTAATGCTGAAAGTTTTGTAACCATTTGTTACAAATCAGTAAATGCATTCTGTCCTCACAGGCTTCCATAGAAGAAAACATGGGATCCAATATGGCGTTGCCCAGAGACGTAGACCTGCTCCCATGTATTTTAGAACAGATTTTGATGGTTACATGTTATTTTTCAACAACTGGGTATCTTCATTCATTTACAACAACATTTCAATGGATGATTCCAGACATTAATGGTAAAAACTACACAATGTCACGTTAAACAAAATATCTGCAGGGTCCTAAAAAGTGTTAAAAGTTTGTATTGCGATGAAGTCCTAATTTTGAACGAGTTGTGAAATTTACTTTGAGATCCCACCATACACCCCGTTAAAACATAACTGAAATGTCATTTTTCAAATCTGTTTTTATTTAATATTTGGTCACTTTATTCAGTTCTGTTTAGTTTATTTATGTAGCGCCAATTCACACTTTACAAAGTGCGCGCTCCAATTGAACCAAATTATCGGTGCTTTGAGTTCAGTTCACGATTCCAGTTAGTTAAAAGTTTCCAATGTAAGGAAACCCAGCAGATTGCATCGAGTGACTTGTTGTGTCAGAGACTTTACAGCAATCCCCTCTATTTAGCAAGCATGTGGCAACAGTGGACAGGAAAGCTACCCTTAAACAGGAAGTAACCTCCTACAGAAACTAGCTCAGTATTGATTTATTTGATAAACTTTAGTTAAATGTGTGATTTTAAAGAGGTCCTTCACTCACATTCTAATATATGCGGTGGTCTATAGTTGGAATGAATGTTTTTTAAGACACACTCTGGGGACTAAAAGCTCCGGTGCACCTGTTTCAGCATGCAGAATTTAGCTAGAGGAGAAAGTCATTTTAAACGACAGGATTTGGGGTGTTATTCTCCTCTGAATGGCTAAAGGCAACGCACTGACTGGTTGCTTTGCATCATTGATGTTTTATCTCCTGTGAGATTTCCTGTGGGGTGGAGTTGCTAATGCTAATGTTAGCTTCTACTAGTCGAGACGTTCTCTGCTGATTCCTCGACGTTAAACCAACAACAGCCTTCCCCGTTGTGATTCAAGATGAGTGAGTCCATGAATGTGAAGTGACAGTGTGACATAGATCTGTCAGGATTTTCAAATCCCAGAGTTTCACCGTCTATTTTCTGTCCGAAGCTAATGCAGGAGATAGGTGTAGGAGACTATTTTCATGTTCAGCCTGCATGAAAAACTCAGAGTGGCCGATCGTTTTTATAAATAATAGGTAAAAAATGGTTTCTCAGTGAAGGACCTTTTTAACACTGAGCACAGAATTGTTGTGCATGCACTGTTACTTGTGATATATTTGCATGCATGCACACAAAAGCAGCAGCACATATCGGCCATTGGCTGACCACGACCTCTACACGCCGGTAGAAGAAAACCCATATCGGTCCGTCGCTTCCCTGTTTATTCTGTCTGTGTGATAGTTTTATCCCAGCACTGAGATGTGCAGGACCTCCACCTGAAAAGGTGATCCATTAAAATCTCCCTGTGGTTTAACACACACAACGAGGTTTTTGAATGTCACAGCGAGCTTCGCTGGTGTCTGCCGCTAGATTTCGCCCTGACATGAGCCCTTGGCTCGGACAGCTATAGTTTTATCCCACAGCTCAGCACAGGTATCAACATCCTCCTGTAGCTTTGGGACGTGCTCATCCATGTGCAAGAAGTGATGCGTGTGTGCCAATGTGTGTGTATGTGCCTGCAGGCTTCCCGGCGACAGCATATGGACCGGTGGCGGCGGCGGCAGTAGCAGCAGCGCGTGGCTCAGGTAGGGGGGCCCGTGGAAGAGGCGGCTACTTGGCGTACCCACAGAGCACAGGGCCAGGTAAACGCTCTGTCCATGTTCTGTGTGGCTGCTGCTCTCTTCAACTTCTCCTGCTCTGCTTCTCCCTCATAGTCGTAGCCGTAGGCCCTTTAAGTCCTCAACGCAAACCACTTAGAACTTTTTATTGCAATTTACTCAAAACAAACTAATCTGAGGTTTAATGGCGACTCTCACACCCAAAAATAATCAACAAGATCTGCGAAACCTCAAATCGTAATTTGAGTTTGGCTCATTTATGCTTATTTAGATGTTTACTCAGACTTTAATTATAACTCTGGTGCAGAAGAAAGTAAAAAAAATAAACATCAGTTTACTTGGAGGTTTTAAGGGGCTCTTGCATTTGGAAAATAAATAACATTTTTGACTTGGATCTTTTATAGAATGAGATGATTTCTTACAAATTTAAATAAGTAATATTTTTTTGATTTTTGAGTTGTATTTTTTTAACTATATTTGATATGAAACACAATATTAATATAACTATAACTAGACATGAATAGAAAAATCAAGAACAACTTCAGTTGTTGGTCATGAAGTCTTTTTTTTGTAATGCCATATCGTTTTTGATAGGTAATAACCTACACTGTAAAAAATGGAATGTTGAATTCACATAACCAGGTTATGTCAGCTGGTTTCACTAAAAGTAACTAGTTTTAGTTACATTTAAAGAGTAATATACTTCATACGTTATGTGTATATGGTAAATATGGGGGGGGGGGGGGGGGTAATATACCGGTGCACCATTTCTTCGAACAGCACGTGTTGTTGGCTCTGGATTTAGTAACAGCAACTCGACACTACCACTGACGTGGATGTTTTATCTCCACAAATAACACAAGCATGGAGGAACTTCTGCTGCGTGGCTGAGTTGCTAATGCTAACGGTTAGCTTCTACTAGCTGAGACGTCTGCTGCTGTTTCTTGGATGTTAAAACAACAACGGCCTTCCTCGTTGAGTCGCGACGGTTGAGTCCATGAATGTTAAGTGACAGCGTGATGTAGATCTGTCAGGATTTTCAAACCCTAGAGTTTCACCATCTATTTTTTTTTATCAGAAGCTAAAGCAGGAAATAGGTGTAGGAGACTGTTTTCATGTTCAGCCTGTGTGAAAAATCTCAGAGTGACCGATTATAATCAGAAATGATCATTTAAAAATGTAATTGTAGTCAACCACACCTTTAAGCAGCTAGGTTTAGTGGAACCAGTTGACATGACTTGGTTAAATTCAACATTTTGTTTCGTACAGTGTAAGCTCCGGACACTTTCGAGCCTCTGTGACACAGATGTTTTATTCTTCTTGGTGCCTTTAAAAGGAAACAAGGTTAAATGTAAACACGATGAAACACACTGACATCATGATCATGACACAAAAACAGGAAGCTTGATTCTTTCTGTCGAAAACAGCATTGATCAGCTTGTCGGCTTCATTTAGACATCCAGTTTTTTCCTCCATTACAACTGTAGATCATCCAATAGCTGTCAATAAAGGCTTCCCCTGACTGAACACACAGCCTCCCTTCTTTGGGGAAGAGTGTCTCTCCTAATCAGGCGCACCATTAGAAGCTTGCTGAAGAAAATAGCTTTTGATTGTTGCCCAGCTCTCGACTGATTTGTGCAGCGGCTCACAGATGAAAAGTTAGCAGGCGAGTGCTGTTTGGTGCCACGTGTAGCGGCGTGGAATGAACTGATGCGAATGCACGGCGGGCAGCAGTCGAGGTCTGTTTGCATGTTCTCGCGTGTGCAAACTCACTCCTGTCCTTTGAACTTCATTCACATTTACAAAGGAAACACTGGAAGCCAGTCAGATTCTTTCACATCAGCTTGTTTGAATTTGTATTTTCAAAACAAACAATTTGTCCAACAGTTGCTACGACCCTCACTTAGAAGCAGAAATGTAGATTTGGGGTGCTGTGGTGGCAGCCATCATATACAGTTTAATTCTGACAGCTGCAAATGGAAGAGAGGCGAGTAAATGATTATGAGCTGAGGCTAAGAGGTGGGCCGTTTGAGAGGCAGCCAGTCGCATTGTGGGCCTGTTTTTGTGTACTTAAACAGCCGGGGGGGGGGGGGGGGGGGGGGGGGGGGGGGGGGGGTTAAAAGAGGAAATCGCTTAGAGAAACGTCCACAAGTCGTCAGCATGTGGCAGAATGTGTCTGAAAATTCTAAATGTTTAATAAATAATAGCAACAAAATAAAAGACACGTGTGTGATTTGAACAATGTAGCCGCATCGTGGCGATTGTTACGATAATTAACTGCTATCAAACAAGAAACGTCATCTTTGTTCTGTGATGGGGCCGCTCTAGTCCTCCAGCTTCTGGCTTTTGACCGCAAATGGTTGAAATATTTATATAATGTCTGATTTGAGGCCGATAACAGACTGAATGAATTAATGCGTTGAGTGCTCTCACCGCCACAAACCAAACAGAGGACACAGGTTGTTTTGACTTGACCTTCGTCCATGCACAGCGTCTGGGGATGCTGCTGCATCTCCGTCCCATCTCATGCTTTCATTTGCAGCCGTCAGCCCAGTGTCGGCCCAGGAATAGCAATTCTGCCCGCTTCATTTTTAGCTAAATTCTCTAATTTTTTAGAGAGAATAGGTTTTTTATATGCTGCTGAAAGAGGCCTTTTATAAGTGAGGATTCGTTGTGCTTTGACTCCACCTACAGTTCCTATAGAGCACCACATGTTGTGTGTATTTTTGTCTGCATTGACCCTGAGTGGGAGTGGGGGTCTCAGCTAATTACTAAATCCCAGTTCAGGGAAGGAACTCCATGCTCCTAAGGATTACTGGATAAATGGTTAAAAAATAAAGAGAGGGACCCTTGTGTGCACATTGTCACAGATTGCTGTGAGGATGTGGGAGACGTTTTCCATCACCAAGAGAGGACACTTTCACCCCACTCCCAGTGTTCGACAGACAGGAATGACAGCATGCTGACTTCCCTCTCCGTGACAGACCACTGCAGATGACATGATGCAGTTTGGATGTCTCACCGCGGTCTGCTTCTCACCCTAAACACTCCAACAGTTGTACAAAACAAGAAAACTCACTAAAGATGTAGAACGTGCAGTATTTTTTGAGTTTCTATAGAAGTTGTCCTCTTTTTCTGGTACTTTTACCACATTTGCTTCCTCTCTTAAAGAGGTTTTTAATATTTGTTGATGTGGAGATCTCTAAGAATGTCTCACAAGTTATTTATCGCTCTTTGAATGGCCTCGGTAAGCAGAAGCTGACTGGATTGACAAGCTAACAGCTAGTTCAAGTTGACCGAAGTGAATTACCACCTTTCTAAAACGACTTTAGTCTCAAAGCTGTCAATGCAGATTATGCAAATGCTGTTTTTATAAACTGTTACACCTTAGGGGTGTAACGGTGCACAAATTCAGATTCATATTTTTGGGTACGGAACATTCAGTTTGGTAGAAAAGCGTACCAAGTTCCCACATGGATACGTAGTTCTGTAGCACACATTAGCCATTAGCAATGCAAGTGCTACATCTTTCCAAAATGACCCAGTCCACATCGGTGTGTGTGGTTACCAGAAATGGTTTTCCGTTGGCCAGAGCCGGCCCAAAGCATATTCGAACTAAGCGACTGCTTTGGGCCCCCACATCACCAGGGTGCCCCTAAGAGCACAAAGATGACAAGAGTAAAAAAATGTTTAATGAATTTAAATATTACCAAATAAATTATATTTCACATAAAAAATACAATTTATCTGTGTTATTTTCTATAGTGTCATTTGGTTTCATTTTGTAGTGCAGCAGACTTGCAGGTTTCAAATTTTAAGAACGAAAAATAGTAAACCTAACTTTCCTATTGTAAATTCTGTGTTTGTCTGCTGATGTTTCTTTCAAATAGCAGAAATAATATACCACACTTAAGTAACACTCTTCATTTTAAAATGATAATTAATTTGAGCGTTTCTGTTGGTTTGCTGCTCCGATGAAGTTCAAATCAAAATCCACAATAACACGAGTTTTATGTAAGCTAATTATAGAAGAGGCTAATGGTAGTGGGAACATTACACAAATGGTCCAGCTGAAGGTCGGTTTTTGCTTGACGCGTCCGCGAGGTCCGCACGGCTCCGCGCGGAAAACTTGCGTCATTTTAACAACCATGCCCCTCCACCGCGCCTCCGCATGGCCCAAAATTTCCGCAACGCGCACCTAGGAAAATTTCTAACCACGCGGACGGTCGGATGCAGAAAAACATGGCGGACCGGCAAGAATTAGTATGGCAGAGGTTCGTAAATACAGACATTTGTATGATTCAGCTCTCAGAGATCACCGTGATCAACATGTTGTTAATAGTTCTTGGAGAGAAATAGCTCGCACTGTCGGAAAAGACGAGGACGCTGTTAAAAATGCTGAAATGCCATGTTGTAAACAGTCATTTTTACTTTTACTATGGTGTAGTGTTGGCTGCATGCCGTAGAGCTCCATGCTGCCCCGTTCAGTTTGGGAGAATATTGGCTCACCGCAGAGACGAGCCGCATAAACCATAAACGCTGCGAGTTGTGAAGCGTGTTCCAGCCGCGAGCCGCATCACCAAGCGGAAAGTGAATGCGTCAAGCATAAATCAAGCTTTAGGAATGATGAATCATCTGGTGTTGACTTGTTGATATGGGGGCCCCCAAGGGAAACCTGTTTAGGGTCCCACAAAGGCTTGGGCCGGCCCTGCCGTTGACTGAGAAGACCAGAAGTGAGCGGCTGTGAAAATGGATGGTTTTACGTGACGTATGTCCTGTTGCCTAGCAACCGTAACGATGCTAATCAGAGGTTAACGGCACCTGCCAGAGGAGCTGCCTCTGTCCTTAGTGAGAGGATATTTTCTACAGCTGGAGAAATTTCAACAGATCTGTCCTTTCAGCAGACAATGTGGACAAATGAATATTTCTATTAAAAATGCCAAAGGTTGAATGGACCTGAACAACTCTACAAGCTGGAAGTCTTAGTGCTGCATTTAAAGTTAATTTCCTAAAGATGAAAAATA